AGCAGGAAGCTCTCCACACACTCACCAGACCTGGGCTAGGACTGGGTCTCGCCCAGAGGTCCAGTTTATTCTAGATTCAGTCTCAGTTACATTTGATCTACTTTTAAACCTGCCCAGTGAGTGTTAATAATACTGACGTGAAGGTTGAATATCCTTTATCTGAAATGAATGACTAGAAATCAAGATCAAAAGTGCTTTGGATATGGATTTTTTCAGATTTGGAAAAATTTGCATGCATATTGTGAGATATATTATGAGGATAGGTTCCAAGTCTACAGTCTAAATATTTCAGCCTCGGGAGGCTGAGGCAGAAGGATCACTGTGAATTTAAGACCAACCTGGGCTACAAAGTGAGTTTGAGGCCAGCGTTAAATGCATAGCAAAACTCTATCTCAAAAAGACAAAAAAAAAAGTCTAAATATGACATTTTATGTTTTATATATATCTTTACATATAACCATAAAGGTAAATTTTTATAACATTTTTAGTACAATTGCACTTAGTGAGTTGTTTTTTGTTTTTGTTTTTGTTTTTTTACATTTATTGTGTGTGTGTGTGTGTGTGTGTATGTGTGTGGCCAGCTCAGCCCACCAGGGGGCGTGGCTGGCTGGCATGTGGTGCTGGGGGTTTGAACCGCGGTCCCTGTGCTTTGCCAAGCTTGTTCCAAGTAGGTGCTTTAGACCACTGAGCCATCTCTCCAGCCCCACTTAGTGAGTTTTTGTATGAGGTTAAGTATTGAATTTTCCACTTACTGAATTTTGTCAGTGCTTAAAAAGTTTTGGAGCATTTCTGATTTTATGTTGGAAATGCTCAACTTATCCTTAGGATTTCTGGAAGTCACCTCACCCCTTCATTGAATTCTTCTGAGTACTCTATAGTGCATTGTTAATCAGCCTCATATTACAATAATGAAATACCTGAAACAATTAAAGAGAAAAGATTTATTATGGCTCATGTTTTTAGAAGTTCCAGTCCAAGGTGGATTCACAGCTTTGGGTTTCTGGTGAGGGTGCTAGATGGCAACAGCGAGGAACACAAGGCAGTGTGAATTGCTCACCTGATAAGCCAGGAAGCAAGGAGGAAGAGGAAGGGCCTGAAATCCCACAGTCCATTTCCAGGGTGCACTCACAGTGAATTAAGTCTTCCTATCAGGCCCCACCTCCTAGAGGTTTCACAGTCTCCCAGTTAGTGTCATTCTGGGGACTAAGGCTTTAATAACACTGACCCTTTAGGAGCAATCAACATCCGAACTGTAGCAGGTATTCTTCATTTTTTCTTTTCCTTTTTTTTGGAACCGGGGATTGAACTCAGGCCCTTGCGTTTGCCAGGCAAGCACTTATTCTACTGAGCTATCTCCCTGGCCCCTCATATTTTTTGTTTTTGTATTTCTTTAAATATTTTAACCAAGGGCCTGCCTGATAGCTCAGTGAACTAAAGCACCTGCTTAGGCAGAGTGCAGCAGCAAGGGATCGATTCCACACGTGTGCTGTGCTAGCCCTGCCCCCGGAGAGTGCTGAGATGGCCATTGAGACAGGAGACTCACTATGAGTCCGATTTATGTAGTGAGACCCTGAACAACCCATAGACCCTGCCCTCAGTACAGAAAAAAAAGAAAGAAAAAAATATATTAACCCATTATTTTGTCCTCTTAATCTGTTAACTTCAGTATCTGAAGAAGTAAAGGGATATCTAGTTTATGATAATTTTGTTGTTTTGATAATTTCTGCTAAGGTTGTTCATAGTAGCTTATTTTGTCACATGCTTTGCAGTTTTGGATTGTGTGTGCTCTTTTAGTGGGTATCATCTAAGGAAAAATTGCAAAGCTTGGGAAAAGGGCATGTTTTCCGAAGTATAAATGTTGTTTATGAGATAACTCAGTTGAGTAAGTGCTTGCCTGGCAAATTCAAGGTCCTGAGTTTGATCCCTGGTACAAAAAATAAAATAAAAAATAAAATAAAATAAAATAAATGTTGTTTATGCTAGATGTCCCATAATTTCTTGGTTTTAGCTTCCCAGACCATTGTGACAATGTAAACTTGAAATTAAAACTTCCCTGAGGATATGCCTATAGAATTGACCCTGAAAAATATAAATCTTTTGGCAGTTTCTCTTGTCAGCTGACAAATTTTAAAAGCTCTTTATTTCATTCAGAGTGTAATTTTTCCAAAGTTTTGCTTTATATTGAGTTCCCAGGCCCAGTTGTTACTTGCTTACTAGGTGTCATACATTAGCTGCTTTTTTCTCATAACATCTGATCCTGAAATAATTCTCTACCTAGCATCATACAACCTGAAAACAATATGAAATACTCAGGCCTTTAAAGTCTCCAACTAACTAAACTGACTTATTCTTATGAAGATGGACTTTGGGTTCAGTGGTAGAGTTCCAACCCAGCATGTGTATGGTCCTGGGCTTAAATTCCTATGCTGCAAAAAACAAACAAAAAACCAAAGCAAGGAATATTATATAGTTATCATTTTGTGAACATCATTCAGTTATGCTTTTTAAAATGTTTTATTCTAAATTCCCTATTTTTTCTTTGTTTTTACCAAACTAATTGTACATTGTGAAAAATTAAAAAGGTTTAAAGATTTAGAAAGCTAGTAATATGTCCATCAAGGCGAAAGTTTAATATTTTGACATATTTCTGATTAGATTGTTCTGGCTTTTTTATAATGCTTAAAATTCTCCTATTAAAAATATTCCATGATGTTGGCATAGTACTTACATATTTCTGTGCTTGTAGCTTATTACATTGTTAGCTGTTGTATTTGGTTCTTTTGAGAAAGTCTTTTCCTTGAGAATGTTCTCTCAAATCCCTAATGCTAATTTTTTTTTTTTTTTTTTGTGGTACCGGGCCTTGAACTCAGGATCCTATGCTTGCCAGGCAAGCGCTTATTCTACTGAGCTATCATCCCAGCCCCCAAATGCTGATTCTTAAATATTTAAAAATAGTGTCATTTTTTATTTTTTATTTTTATGTATTTAAACAGTGTCTATAGGGTCTCACTATGTAGATCAGACTCGTAATGATAGTCCTGTGTTCAGCCTCCAAAGTGCTACAATTACAGGCGTGTGCCACCACGCCCAGTCTCAATGTGCCCTGGGGATGGACCGGCCTAGCACGCCTGGGACTGAACACTGTGCTCTGCCTAAGCAGGTGTTTAGTCCATTGAGCTATCTGGCCAGCCCTAGTGTTAAGTTTTGGGTATGAATTTATTCTTGTCTCATCTGACTGAATTTTTCAAGTGCAGTTACTTGTTTACATTGATACCCCTCTCAGTATCACGTTTTCCCATTTCCTCAAAATATTAGGTATAGAGTTCCTATAGAACACAGCAATTTCATTCACTGCATTCTCTCTCTGCCTTTGTGTCTCCCTCCCTCTCATATATATATATGAGAAATGAAATGTCTTAAAAACTTGTATACAGATATTCATGGTAGCATCATTCATAAAAGCCCAAAAAGTGAAAACAGTGCAGATGTCCATAAGCTAACAAACGGTTTTTATTTCCATGGGGTGGACTATTAGTCATCAGTGAAAAGTGTTTTATGACATGATGAGCCTTGGAAACATAGTGAGATAAATTGATAAGTCACAAAAGACCACATACTGCATGATTCCACTTATATAAAATGTCAAAAATAGGAACTGTAAATCTTTAGAGATAGAAAGTAGATTAGTGGTTGTTTAGGGCTGGGGTTGGGGAAGTAATAGGTTGTAACTGCTGATGGTGACAAGATTTCCTTTGGAGGTGATGAAAATGTTCTAAAGTTAGATCATGGTGATTGTTGCATACATCTATGAATATACTAAGAACTAATATATTTAAATATATTACTAGTGACCTTTAGATGGGTGAATGAACTCTAATATTTAAATTTTTATAGTTTAAAAAGAAAGGAAATAAGTTGACAGGTTTCCCTTTTTTTCTGTACATTCATCCCTTCCCTAGATTGTTGATTAGAAGATAGATAATATCTCCTATGGTGATTCCTGCTGTGTTAGAGAATAGCATATTATAGTGTTACTTGTGTTTCATTTTGGTTCAGTGTCTGATAATCTAAACCATGGGTTTTTCAGGTGCAATGTCACCTAATGTCAGCTGTGTGATTCTTGGTCATGCTACTTTACCTTTGTCTTAGTTATTCTTCTCTCATTGCTGGGACAAAATACCTGATACCCATAATGAAGGAAGGAAAGGTTTATTTAGCTCCCAGTTACTGGAGGTTTCAGTCCATACTCAGCTGGCTCCAAGGCAGAGTGGCACAGGGCAGAGAGCATCCTTTCATGGCAGCGGCAAAGGGCAAGAGCAAAGGGAGAGGCAGCTATGGCAGCTAGCAAGCCTCGCTCCACTCCTTACCTTGTAGTGTAAATTTTCCACCCCAGGTCCAGGGTGTAGTACTCACATGTGCAATAATCAATCACAAACTCTAAAAGCCGCTCTATGACTGTATGGAGCTTTGAAAGGGACAACTAGACACAAACCATAATAACACTGATGATTGACTGTTGGAAAGTTCACCTAAAAGTGAAACAGCATGCAGAAAGCTAGATAGACCTAAGTAAATACATAGTAGTATGAAGATTTTGAAAAGTTCTTTGCATTTTGTTTTCATAGGAGTGAAACACAAATCATTCCTTACGGCTGAGGACTGCTTTGAGTTGGGCAAAGTGGCCTACACAGAAGCAGACTATTACCACACCGAACTCTGGATGGGACAGGCCCTCAGGCAGCTGGATGAGGGCGAGGTGGCCACAGTGGACAAGGTCTCTGTGCTAGATTATCTGAGCTATGCTGTATACCAGCAGGGAGACCTGGATAAGGCCCTTGTGCTCACAAAGAAGCTTCTTGAACTAGGTATGTTATCTGACTTTCATGTAATTTAAGGTTATAATTATTTTGGGGATATATGTTATCTGTGTTTTTATCTGTCCATCCATCCATCCACCCACCCATCCATCCATATACCTTCAATATTTTTAATTGTTAGAAATCAAGAGCCTTATCAGTCAAACACACTTTATCTTCTCACTGCCTAATCTCAAATAATAACTGATTTTTCTCACGTGGTTAGTACTGCCATAGTGGCTATGTTCCTCTACTCTGTATTCTGGAACTTCCAGATTGAATCTAACCTAGCTAACTTGGTCAAAAATGTTTCTGAATTAATTGTTAAAACCACTTTCTTCTGAAGAGTATTATTGGTGTATTGCATTTTATATTCAAATGTTAGAAAAATGTATCTTGAGAGCATTTCACCACTTGTGCTTTGAACAGAGATGTAGAATTTCTCTAAGTATGGGCCAAGCACTACATATATCAGATTACTTGACTACTTGTTAGAAATGAAAATTCCTTGATTTCTTCTAAATCATAATCTTTGGAGATGGAGACAAGAATTTGTATAATAATACAGTGAATAAAAAAATTTTTAGGGGCCGGGAGATGGCTTAGTGGAATAAGCACTTCCCTGGCAAGTGCAAGGGCCTGAGTTCAATCCCTGGTTCTGAAAAAAAAAAAAAAAAAAAATTAAAGTATTTAGCTTACCAGATAGCTCAGCAGATTAAAGTGCCTGGTTAGGCAGACACAGGGGTCAGAAGTTCAATCCCCAGCCTTCCGTGCCGGCCCCACCCCTGGGGTGCACCGAGACAGCGATTAAGACTAGGTATGGTGCCACATGCCTGTAGTCTCAGTACTTGTGAAGCTGAAAACAGGAGAATCACTACAAGTCCAAGCTGTGTAGTGAGACCCTGTGGACCCTTCACTAAAAAAAAAAAATAATAATTTATATAATAAGTTCAGCTGGTCTTTATTACATAATGAAGCCTTAAAATTTTTGAACTTACTTTACAAACAATAGGCATTATGTCAGAAGAATGAAACAACTCAAAAGGACTGATCATGTGCAAGCGAACTTTAATAAATAGTTTATTTTCTAGTTGGGTGAATCAACAAATTAAAAGATATTAATTCAAATAACTTTTTTCCTTTTAGTATTTTCAAGTAAATTTTCTTCCTGATTTAAAACATACTTTGTACGCATTGTAGGAAACTTATTAAAACAAAAAGATACAGAATAGTCATCCATAATCAAATTACCCAAAGACATACAAATTTTTGTTTTATTGTAGTACACATTTCTCTTACCTACACAGTTTTTCCTTTTACAAAATTAAGTTTTTATTGTATATCACAATACATACTATGAGCAATATCCAAAGGACAAGAAATATTTCATAATCTCAAGTTACATTTCCCAAACACTTTGATTAATGTCACAAGTGAAGTCTCTACTATGATTTTTTTTTTCAATTTTTATCTCTGTGTTTGGTTGTTTGGATTTTTTTTTTTTCCTCAGCTGGATGATGTAGCTAAAAAAGATCACTAGTAATTCTGAGTTGGTCAGTGGATTCTGGTTTATTTGAGAATTACATCTTTAGGTTTTTGTTTTTTACTTAGAAATTTGGGGCTGAAATCCATTCAAATATGTTCTGCATTTATAATGTGTCTGTAACTGAAAGTTGCTTTTGGAAGTCCTATGCTCTGTTTTTACTATGGTGATTATCATTCTTAGAAAAATATTTCCATTGCTTAAAAGATGTAGGCTAAATAAGATATCTTTAAAAATGTATTTGGTACAAGGTCTCACTACGCAGCTTTGGACTCATAGTGATCCTCCTGTTTTCAGCCTCCCCAGCACTGGGATCATAGGCGTGCAACACTATGCCCAGTCTCGGTGGCTGGCTCAGCACGCCTGGGGTGGGGCTGATGTGCCATGTGATGCTAATGATTGAACCCCAGTCCCTGCGCTTACCTAAGCAGGCACTTAGTCTGCTGAGCTATCTTGCTGGCCTGATAAATGAGATTTTAAGACTCATTTCACATAAAATTTCACATAGTTCCTCTGGTTGATTAGTAAGTTCTTAAAGTAGAAGCAATAGTTGCAACCTTGAAATAAAAGGCTGCTTCCATCTCTAGAACTGTGTTTACATAGACCTACTATATGTTCGGACTTACTTGGGCTAGTACTATTTTACATCCATTTTTTTACAATAATAATTTGTCTTAGTGGCCCTTTTTAATCTTAAAAAGCATCCTGGTTTGGAGGACAAATCATACGGTTTCCTATATACTCAAGAGGCTTGAACAGTTGCATACTTACCCATGGACATACTTTATTTCTCTTCAAATAGATCCTGAACATCAGAGAGCTAATGGTAACTTAAAATATTTTGAGTATATAATGGCTAAAGAAAAAGATGCAAATAAGTCTGCTTCAGGTGACCAGTCTGATCAGGAAAGCACATCAAGGAGAAAAGGGATTGCTGTGGATTACCTGCCAGAGAGACAGAAGTACGAAATGCTGTGCCGTGGGGAGGGTATCAAAATGGTAAAGTGGAAAAGTCAATTGTGTGTGTGTGCATGAGTGTGTATGTATGTGTTTTGTATGTAGTTGTACAGAGGATTATATTTTTTATATTTAAGCCTATATGAGAAAATTCATGATTTCATTAAATATTATATTCATTTTAGCTTGGTGTCACTGTCACAGTCAGTGTGCTCCAGTTAATAATTTTGATATAAATTTTGTGAATCATCTACCATTATATGCACTTTTGATAATACTATCCTGTTCACAGATCAAAAGAGGGTTATTTTCTAGGGTGAAGGATCAAGTAAGTTTAAGGAATTGATAATTCTTTTTATGTTAATTCCAAAGGGAGTTTAGTACTGCCTAGGGAGAAATAATATTGGTAATTGATTTTATGAGATGAAAGACTCATTTATACAGTAATCTCTTCTGATCTTGCTGATTCAGTGTTTAAAAGATTCCTTAGTGAAATATTTAAAAAATACTCAGCATGTAAATGTTCAACAGATTTGAACTTTAACATTTATTCTTTAAAAGATCCAAATATATCTGTAAACATCCCTTTGTGTATTATATAGTTTATATGTATATAATTATAATTGAGAATGCCACCTCTTTAAAATATTAGTAGATCTTAAATCCAAACTCAGATTGTTCCAAGTCTAAGGAACATTTATTAAACAAAGCTGATCACAGGTTTTGGTTTAGCTTTGAGATGTCTCAGAGCCTTTTTATGATAATGTGCATTACTGTGGATACATACACAACCAAAACTGACCATGGAGCCGTCTTTGTGTTTTTGTGGTACTGAGGATCAAATGCAAGACCTTTTGCATGCTAGGCAAATGCTTAACTGCTGAGCTGCATCTCCAGCCCATGAAACCTTTTTTAAAGTCTGTGATGTGGTACTAGTGTCCAAACAGGTTGTTTTTGTTTTTGTTTTGTTTTTTTTTTTTTTTTCACTGACAGCAAACTCAAGCTGAGCTTTATAGTTTGGTAGTGATGACTCTTGAACCTGAGCACAAATAGCAAACACATATATGTCTTGCTTGACACTCTTGATAGCTAGGTTTATGGACTCTTAGCAGAAAATGATTGTTTTTGTCTTGAGAGTTAATGAGTAAATTCAAGGATAATAACACTTTGTTAGACTCATGAAACTTTCTTTTACATTTTATTTCTAAATACTTACTGTGTACCAGTTAGCTTTATGTTGCTGTGACAAAATACCTGACATAAACAGCTGAAAAGGAGGAAAGATTTTTTTTTTTTTTTTTTTGGTGGAACTGGGGATTGAACTCAGACCCTTGCGCTTGCCAGGGAAGTGCTTATTCCACTGAGCCATCTCTCCGGCCCCCAGAAAGATATATTTTGATTCACACTTTTGAAGGTCTCAGTGCATGGTGGTTTCCCCTCCATTGCTTAGGTCTGTGGTGAAGCAGAGCATCGTGGCAGGGGTGGGGAGCAGCGGATGGGGAGCAGACCTGTGCACCTTGTGAGAAGCACGGCAGATACTCCAGTGTCCCCTCCAAGGGCAGGCCTGTGGCCTTCTGTGCAGCTCACTCAGCTCACTCCCTGAAGAACACCACAGACTGAGAACAAAGCCTGTAACACACAAGCCTTTTGGGTGGCATTTTAAAACTAAACCAGATGTATATCTTTTAAACATAAGGATTCAAGTTGGGTGTGGTAATGCTCCCCTATGATCCCAGCACTCTCAACGTTCAGGCAAGAGAATTGTTTTGACTGGGTTACATAGTGGGTTCAAAGCCAACCCCAACTCAAAATCATAAATAAATAAATAATAAATAAATGACTCAAAATAATTACAAGGCCATTATCACATCTAAAAAATTTTACAGTAGTCCATACTATTAAAGAATAGTTACTATTCAAATTTCTAGGGTGAACGGATTCTTAAAAATTGACTTTATTAACTTTTAAAGAAGAACAGAACTATAAGGACAAAACAGGGTCCTGCTAGTTTATCAGTTTGTTGTGGTACATGTCAGCTCTGCCCACAATCAAAAGTGGCATCTTTCTGTTCAAGTGGTTCAATCCGTTTCATCATTGTATAAAAGACTTGTTTGATATAGAATCTTGGGTTTGAGTCCAGGTAAAGTGAATGGAGAATAAATGTGAATGAATCTTTTATTATACCACTTAATAATTTAATTATATTCCTGCTTTGTACATGACATACTTAATCAAGGGAAGAATACCAGGGTTGGTGATGGAGGTCAGCGGTAGAATTCTCACTGAGCATGTGCAAGGCCCTGGATTTGTTCCCAGCAAAGAGAAGCATCCGCAGTGAACTGACATATTTATAAGGCAGATAATTGAAGGGAATGTTTATTTGCTTAGTTGACTGCTCTACAATATTTTTATCTACCTCCTATTAAAACAATGTGGCTTCTGTAATAACTTTTCACTCTCACCTTTGCTGTTACTCTTTCCTTTTTTGCCACAAGCATTTAACTATAACATTTTAGGGAAACCTGGTTTTTGGTGTCCCCTCCCCCTTCTAGAAACTCTCATTTTTCCACTTGCTTCTCAGTTACTTTTTGAAGTTTGGAACAGTGCTTGTCATTCCTCTCATATTTCCACAAACCCCTCATTGTTTCTTTCCTGTTTCCAGATGAGTGAAGACTTAAAAGAGAAACCTTTTTCTCCTTCAGACTCTCCCTCAGAGAATAATCATTAATAAAATCTTTTAAATCCCAAAAACTCTACTTGATACAAAATATTTGCAGAGTACTGCTTCTTGTTTATTCTTCCAGAGATACTGTGGGTGTATGCAGACATGGTTATTTTGTGTTTGTATAGGAATAGATATTAAAAATGTTATTATTCTTAGCCAGATGTGATGGTGCACACTTATAATTCTAGAACTCTGAGAGGCTGAGGCAGGAAGATCCTAAGTTTGGCCTCAGCCTGGGCAATTTAAATTAAAAAAAAACAACAAACACACACTAAAGGGGCTGAAGCTGTCCTGAGCACGAAGCCCCACTGATTTAGTCCCCCATACTGCAAACACATAAACATATGTGTATATGTATATATGTATATACTGTATGTGTGAATATATGTATATGTTCATATAATTTATCATTTTCTTAATGTTTAGACTCCTCGAAGACAAAAAAAGCTGTTTTGCCGCTACCATGATGGAAACCGGAATCCTAAATTTATTCTGGCTCCAGCCAAACAGGAGGATGAGTGGGACAAGCCTCGTATTATTCGCTTCCATGATATTATTTCTGATGCAGAAATTGAAATTGTCAAAGACCTAGCAAAACCAAGAGTAAGTTATTTTTTTCTCCTCAATTTCCTGTGTACTTCGTATCAGCTTTTCATCTATGAGATGACAAAGAAGACAACTGATATGGCAGTGACTGCACAGATAGTTTGTGATACTGCTGCTGTTTTAGGTATGGCTGGTTTTTTTTTTTTTGGTTTTGTTTTATTTTGTTTTTAGTTTGTTGTTGCCACAAATAGCATATCCTAAAATTGGGCATTAAACACTGAATTATGAAAATCATAGCTGAGATTTTTATTTACAATTCACAAAAATTTTCACTGTTTTACTGAATGACTTTTCTGTTATTATTTTGTCACCTTAATCTCAGAGGCCATGCTAAGCTCAACTTTTTCTTTCCTTTTTTTTGTGGTGCTGGAGATTGAATGTGGGGCTTCTAACATGCTAGGCAAGCACTATCCTTGAGCTACATCCTTAGCTCAACTTTTTTACATCTTCTAAATTTTTATCTGAAAGAATAATTGAAGTATTTTTATTCCTTCTAAGGCACGTTACTATTATAGAAAAATATAATTGGGTGCAAGCATTATGTTAATCTTTAATGGCGACATCACAGTTTTCTGAAAGCTATGTCATTTATCGTACTGAGAAAAATAGTCGAATGTGAGTTAAGCCCAGTCCTATAAACTTTGTGTTTAGCAAAGACATTCTTTTGTGAGAGAATGTAGGTAAAACAACCCTTTCTGACCTTGCTTTTTCCCTCATCATCTTGCTTTTAATAGTTCATTTTATTGATAGTAAAATACAAATCATTGTCACTTTCATAAAGAGATTGTTGAAACAATGCTAAGCTTAGTTTTTCTGTCATTACCCAAGAAAGGGTTAGTAATGTTTTTTCTGTAAAGGTCAAGATAGTAAACTTTTTTTAAGCTTTGTAGACCATATGGTCTGTTGCAACTGCTCAGCTTTGTCATTGTGATGTAAAAGATCCAAAGAAAATATGAAAATGATTGAAAGTGGCTGTATTCCAGTACAACTTTATTTCTAAAAACAGCTGAATTTGGGTTTGCCAACCCTTGTTTTAACAGAAATACTTTAATTATCTAGATATTTACACTGCATAATACATTTTAGTGCTTTTCCGTATTGATATTCTTTATTAAAGAAAGATTATAAATGCAAAAGACTGATCTGATACATGTAGGTGCTGTTCAACTCTAATAAATGTACTACTGAGCAGAATGCTACTTACATCAAAGTCTGTTATTCTTGTTCGAATTTTTATCCTTTATTTGTGGTTAGTAAACCTAGTTTGAGAAATTATTTTGTGAACCGTTCTATTCTGGTAAGCATTCATAAGTTGAAATTTTTTCCAAAGACTGATAAAGTGAGTCTTATACAATACACTTGTGAAGGTTCGCAGCTCGAATGTTTGTAAGCCAGACCCTTTCTGTTTTCATTCAGTTAGTCTGGGTTTGAAGACTTCAGTTTTCAGCAGAGATTCCTCAGTGTAAATTATTTTGTGATCAGTAAATTAAGTGGCCTTAAAATTTCATACTCTTTTGTTAACAAGAGTTTAAAAAATGTTATAAATTACTATCATCACTGTCATGTCTTTCCTGTTGTTTTAACATTGATGAATTTTTTATTTTCCTTCTGCTCAACGCAAGATTATTTTACCATATATATTATTGAGTGGTTCTCTTAAAGAGAGAAGAGATTGACTTCAAAATAATTTTCAATAGTACTAACTTTGTGTATAGTTCTAGCACTAAGAATAATTTTAGTGTAATCTTGGAGATTTTGAAATAGATCATTAATTATGTTACATTCCTGTTGCTATAATTTACAATTCAAATTTTAGAAGTTTCTTTTCATTATCATATCATCTTACTCCTGAAAGAAATTTAAAATTTTCAGTCTTTTGTTTGAATACCCTCTACTCAAGTAACACAAAAATACAATTTTTCTAAAAATGTAAAAACCTTAGCCAGGCATCCTATACTGCCAGCCCTCTGGGAGATGGAGGCAAGAGGATCACAAATTTGAGCCTAGCTTGGAGAATTTAGCAACTTAGTGAGACATTAAAAAAAAAAAAAAAAATTAAGGGGACTTGGGAGTGTAGCTTAGTGCAAAGGCCCCGAATTCAGTCTCCAGTACCAAAACAAAACACAATACTCAGGACCAGCTGGCTTTCATGGCTCAACCCAAGGTGCCTGGAAGAACATGGAGGTATTTCCTCTATTCACCTTCCATGTTAAAACACCAGAATTCTGACTGGTTGGATAAATGTGATTCATGTTTTGTCTTGTAATGCATCTATTTTGATGGTTGGCTTCACAGCTGAGGCGAGCCACCATTTCAAATCCAATAACAGGAGACTTGGAGACGGTACATTACAGAATTAGCAAAAGGTAAGAGATGTGTATGCTGCATATTTTGCCCTCTAATGAGTGTTTTCTGCATCCTACAGGAGTTTTTATTCATTTAGGGGAAATAAGTCATTTTCAGTCTCCAGCTCAAGTCCCCACATTGCCCATGATCAGGCTATCGCATGGATAAACTGCTCTGGGTTTCACAGGCTTTTTCTTGTAACTAGAGGTTCTGTTTGTAATCCTGAACTGATCTGTTATGTTTAGTAAATTGCTAAAATACGCTTTATTTTTTTAAGATCAGGTATCAAGTATCTAAGAAAGAGCCTAGTATTTGTTTTCTTTTTCCCCTTTATGGTCAAAGTGAGAAATAAAAAGCAGCAGCCTGGTTAATCTGAGGAGAGTCTGTGTTTCTGCCTTTCTCACATTTGTAAGGGCTGCAGTGATTCTGGCATTTGTTCATATGTCTTATACAGTATCATTGTCATTGTGGAATAGTCTGTGTTTCTCCTACTGTTGGAGTTTTATTTTTAAAAGCTTGCTGACTCAAAAGTTGGCAGCAGAAAGAATTGTGCTTCTGAATTTAGTCTTCCAAAACTTACTTGTTGAACTTAATTGTGTTTTATTTTGCATATTGAAAAACAGTTTTATCTGTTTTTAAAAAATGAAACAATTCTGACTAATTTTTTTTCCAAAATTTTAAAGAACATTTAACTTCTAGATCTGGGAAAATTCCTGTGAAACCCAGTGCTATATATCATTTACATAAAGTTCCAGATGCTTTTCTTAAAAAAAGTGAAAGGACAATAAATCTACAGCAAAAATCTGTCAACCTATTTTTCTCAACTTTGAAGTGGCTGTTCTGACTGCCACCTTTCTGTAAACATTCTTACTGATTTGAAACCATTACCTGCCATCCAGAGCAGCCTGAATCCTTCCAATCACCTGTGGCTTGGCAAACAAAACAACAAAAGTTCCAAATTGCCTGCTACTAGAGTAAGTCCTTGTCCTTTCTCTTTTTTTTTTTTTGTAGCTGAGCCGAGCTACAGTACATGACCCTGAGACTGGAAAATTGACCACAGCACAATACAGAGTATCTAAGAGGTAAGGTAGAACTTGAGTTGTATTTGAAGAGACTCTAAATTAGGTTTTTAGCTGATACATCACTAAAATAATTTTTAAAAAATAGATTGTGGTGTAACTCAGGTGTATAACTTAGAAAGAACTCACAGAATTGTGTGACATTACAACAGAATTCCTTTTTCATTGACTTATTCATATAAAAGATTTATAAATATGAAAATATAAATATCATTGTAGTAAATTGTTTTATTTTAAACCTAATACCCACAGATAAAACAGCTAATTCACATAAATCTTATTTAGATAATGTGTACTAATAATCATAACATTAAAAGTCCTTTATGGAACCAGTGAGATAGCTCAGTGGACTAAGTGTCTGCTTAGACAAGCGCAGGGACCGGGGTTTGATCCCCAGCACCACATGCTTTGCTGGCCCCATCCCCTGGCACACTGTGCCAGCCACCGAAACTGGGCATGGTTGCTCATGTCTGTAATCCCAGTGCTGGGGAGGCTGAAAACAGGAGGATCACTACAAGTCCAAGCTGCGTAGTGAAACCCTGTACAAAATACATTTAAAAAAAAAAAAAAAAGTCATGATACAGAAAAGTGTTGGGTTTTTGTTTTGTTTTGTTTTTGTGGTGGTACTGGGGATTGAACTCAGGACCTTGTGCTTGTCAGGCAGGAGCTTATACCACTGAGCTATCTCCCTGACCCCAGAAAAGTATATTTTCTTGTCCATTATATAGATATTTTTATTTTAAATATAAGCATAAATATAACGTGATGAATAGAAGACTTTCAGGTATAAGTTATATCACTTTTTTCTTTAATTACATTTATTGGTACAATTTAGATATAAATAATGATCACATCATAGGGAATTTACCTGTACATGATATATCTTGATGTCTCTTTTTCCCCCATTCTGTTCTCCTCCCTTCAATCCCCTTCCCCTCCTTATTTACAAAAAAAGTATTGCGTTTAGAGGTGGTTTCTCAATCTCAGAACACTGATGCTTTGAATCAGGTCATTCTTTGTTGTTCAGGGCTGTTTGATCTCCGTAGGGTGTTAGGCAGCATCTCTGCCACCTTCAGAAGCTTCAGCATCCTTCCTTCATAGTAATCCTTAAAAATGTTTCTAGACATTGCCTAACATCTCCTGGTAAGCAGATTTCTCTGCATTCACGTCCAGGGGCTCCGCCCTTCCATTTCTGCTAAGAGCCGCTGTTCTAGGATAAGAAAGAAAAGAAAATTTAAGTTCAAGGGAAAAAAAAAGAATGATGTAAAAAAGAATGATGTAAATTTTTCAAATATTAAAATTTATTTCTTATATTTTAAAAGTAGGTTAGATAAATGAAAAATAACTATTTTCTATAAATTACCAGTATTTTCAGTGTGACATTGTAAAATCATTTTAAGCTAGGTTATAAAAACTTCAGTTAACTAGAAAATTATAGAAGAAGTACATAGATTTTAACAAGTACTTGAGATGCTCAAAGAAAAAAGATGGGGGCTTGGGAGATGGCTCAGTAGAATAAGCACTTGAGTTCAAGCCCCGGTTCCGCTAAAAAAAAAAAAAAAAAGAAAGAAAAGAAAAGAAAAAACATGTGTTTTGAGACCTGGTCTCTGTATAATTAAGGCCAGCCTTAAACTTACTGTATAGACCAAGTTGGCCTGGAACTTGAGAACTTCCTGCTTCAGTGTCTGTGGTGCTGAGAGAGAATAAGAGGCACCTGACACCTAGCACAGTTCTCAAAAGTGTGATGATCACTGCTGTAAGCTTAACAAGAGCATTATGATGTCTATACAGAATACTACATAGATTTAGTTTTTCCTTACCCTTTTAGGAGCAGAATCATATGCCCTTGATATATTAACCCAAAACATCACCATCTACATATTCTAATTTCCTGTCTGTGCTGTATATACCCCTTGCCCTCTTGCCACGTTAAGAAAAAGTTTTTTTCTTACCTTCACTGATTTCATTGGCTGAAACCCCTATCAAAAAAAAAAAAAAAAAGTAACAAGAAAAAAGTCTACACATTCAAAGTTTTACCTGACAGAGAGCTTTAAGAAATGAAGAGTGAAAAGATAAAAGAAATCTGTGGGGCCAGGGAGATAGCTCAGTAGAATAAGTGCTTGCTTGGCAAGCGCAGGGTCCTGAGTTCAATCCCCGGTACTGAGATAGATAGATAGATAGATAGATAGATAGATAGATAGATAGATAGATAGATAGATAGTGTTTGGGGCCAGGGAGATAACTCTGTAGAGTAAGTGCAAGGGCCTGAGTTCAATCCCCAGTTCCGCAGGAAAAAAAAAAAAAGAAATCTGTTTTTATACTGTCATTCAAAAGTATGATGAGACAGAGGTTGTGATATAATGGTAATAAACTGAAAGGAATTCAGTAAAGTTTATTTGTTCAGATACTTCTTGATACTTGTGTTTTTGAAGATGAGGCTGTTCCTTTTCTCTAGGAGTAAGAAGGGTACCTCTAAAATGAAAGTCTCATTTTCTATTTCAGAAAGTCATAGAAATTTTTATTATTTATTTATTTATTTATTTTTGATTCCAGTTTTTAAAAAGTGACGTAGCTTTTGACAACACTGCCCTCCACTGGATTGAACAGTAGTTCTCAGACTGAAATAAATAAAATGGACCTAGATCTCGGTTTACTATGTATGTAATTACCCAAGACTGAGCACTGAACGAATTATTGGAGATTTTGCCCTTGGTAACCGGCATTTTAAGCCCTGAACTATCTTCTGTCTTTCCAAAGAAACAACACAAATAACTAATTATAAAGGACAGTGTTCGTGTTCAGATTCCATTATCGGCGTTTTCTTTGGAGGTCTTATATAACAATACTCAAATCTCCAAAATGGTGTTGTGCCTACTTGTGCACAAGCTCCATCTCTCACATATTAGAATATGAAGCATAGGAATGCTTCTTCCTTGGTACAGCATTTCCAGGAAACTTTAAAATCATATGTTGAAAGGATAATAACGATTTTTTTAAACATCTAAATCTGATTGAAAAGGAAAAATTATAAAAATGCTGTAATTGAATGTACATACTTGTTCTCAAGTCCTGTCATTAAGGCCTAAAGGAAGATAGATATATGAGACTATTTTTTATTTTTTTAACTAAAAAATTTTAATTGGTACATTTTAGATATACATAGTAACATTCATCATAAGGAATTTGAACCTACACATAATACATCTTGCATCTTTTTTTCATTTCATTCATTCATTCATTCATTTCCTGTCTTCTAGAGATAGGGTTTTCCTATGCAGTTCAGGCTGGTCTTGAACTTGCAGCAATCCTTTTGCCTCAGCTTTGTCATATTTTCTTTTTAGATAGTTAGATAAGTATTTTTAAACTATACAATCTATCTCTGAAAGAATTTTTCAGTAGACATAAATTCTGATAGAAAAATAAAAACAGTAAGATTTAAAGCTTTATATGTCTATAGTCTAGTAAAGCCCATGGACTTGAAATACTTGATAGTAATGGTTTCATCAAAAGAAGGAAGGAAGTGAGTTTAAGTATTCAACGTTCTTGAATTGACTGAAAGAGGACAAAAATATTGCTTAATATTAAATTCTGAAAAGGATATCTATATAATTGTTTAACCATTAAAATAAAAAGGAAGGAACTTCAAAGCTAATAGGGTAAGGAAAAAAATAAAAATAAAAATAAAAATAAATAGGGTAAGAAAGACTAAAATCCAAGAAAAACTATCCCAAGAAGGCAGAATAAAAGAAAAAACAGAATACAGAAAACTTTCTCTCCCTTTCTTACATGTCTTTCAACACTATGCTTTATATTACATTTCTATTTGCTGATATTTCTCATATTAGATACAATATCTGTATTCTTCCAGTGTCTGGAACATAGAAGAAATACATTCATTCACCAAAAAATAGTAACTGAATGCCCACTGAAATAGATCCAGTGGGGCACCAAAGTAGAAAGGTTATGGCTGGCAAGATTAAAGACTCACAATGTATAAACTTCTTAGGGCCCTCAACTTGGAGAGGACATTCAAGAAAAAAACAAATACTCAATACGGTCACCTTTATGGTAGTGACTGTATTGAATATAACATGAAGATTATTGGCAATTGAGCATAATTACAAATATTAAGAATATTTTTAGGCAACTGGGAACCAGGGTAGAGACTTTGGTCTGTAGCTTTTCCAACTGCTATAAGGTAAACACTTCCATTTCAAAGTGTCAGCTAACTCTCAAAAGTCCTGAATACCTACCTGGGTCTCAAGAGTTACTTAGGCAGGCCAGTCCAGCTTTCCACACCAATGCTTTCAGGGGCATGACAGGAAAAAGACCTAGAAAAAGACATGCTCAGAGGTCAGAAGGTAAGATGGCGTTTATTAAAAAGTTAAAAGTAAGACTATCCAGAAACACTAAAGTTAGGTGAATGCTCATATAAATGATAGACAGCACCAAAACTTGAAGTGATTGCCTCAGCTTCCTGAGTGCTGGGATTGCAGGTGTGTGCCACTACAGCTGGTCTTCCCCTTGTTTGCAAAAGCTTTGTTTACATTTTTCTTCTGTTCTTTTTTCTTGCCCCTTCTTTCCCTTACCCCTCCCTTGTTTCCCTTCTCATTTAAACATTTTCTTCCCATTTTCAATAGTTTTTAATGAAAATTAGGGGTATGTATAGTTATTTGAAAAAAGGAGGTTTTTTTTTCTTTCTCCTGGTATTAAATACTGTATGTGTTTTGTGGGAAAACACTGAATAACTTTGGAGAAATTTTCTTTTATAATTGGATGAAGAAATAATCTTCAAATGACTTTTCCTATTAAAGTAAGTGGTGTAACTTTAGATTCTAACTTAAAGCTGTGGGTATTAGAAGGAAGAAACTTCGATTTCTGATGACTTGATACAATACAGCAAGCACATCCAGGACCTAGAAAAATGGGCACTTTCAGTATAATTATCACTTCTGAATTTTTAGCACTGTTTCAACAATGTACATTCAGAACTAAATTCATAA